ACAAACAGGCTTCCTTCTGAGGTCCCACATTTCAGTGAAAATCTCTGTTTCCCGGCACATGTTGCCAGAAGTTGTATTAAAAATATCATACCATAAAAAGGAAAAAGTGTTGCTATAGCACAGTGCTGTTTTATTTAGGTCTTTTAGCAACCTCAGAAGGGCAGTTGTAATATTTTAAGAAAACAGCAAGCCAGCAGCCAGGTATTAGTATTCTTCACACTGTGCAGATGCTTCCTTGCATCCAAGCCACATCCATCCCCGCTGTCTGTTTCCTTCTCTGTATAACCTGTGCAGCTTTAGGGGCCAGAGGCTGCATATTTTCTGTATCTCTCCCTTTTCCATTCTGGAGACTATTCCCAACAAACTAAGACAGTTACAAGGGTATCTCCAAACAAAATAGGCTAACTGGGGGTAAGGGTGAGGTGAGGGGTGAGAAAGACCCTTACGGTAGGTCCTGAATCAAAGTTAGCTTGGGAATCTGTGAGTCCACTATGAAGGGAAAATCTGCATCCTTTGGAGAGCAGAAAGAGATTCCACCTCTGGGATGAGTCGATCTGCAGATCACCATGTAGCAGTTTCAAAGCAGAAATCCCCTCCTGTGGGTTTTAACACAGGAGGGGGCAATCTGGCTCAGGTTTAAAAAAATCCCCAACCTTTTAAATCCCTTGGAACATAGTTTGCCTTTCTGTTTTGTCACTTAGAATCGTAGGTGCTGCTACTGCTCTATTCATTGTTACACCAGGCTAATACTTTCCATCATACCCATTGTTTCCAGTTGCTTGTAACTTTGTCAGACTTCAGTTTTAAAGGTCTGAAGTCTTCCATGCTCGTTCTTTGCCTAAGGTCAATTACAACATACCCCTGAAAGTTCAGATGCTTTCCAGAACAAAAACTAGCAACAAAGGCAGGCTTCCCCATCCACTTGCGCAGATCACTGTGAAGATTCAGAGCAGGAAGTTGCAATTTGGCAGGAAGACAACAATGAAGTTAGAAAGGTGTGCCACACCATCTCACTGATGGTTCTTTTTAATCCAGTTGACATAGACTTGATAAGCAAGGCACCAATGCCTGCCCCTCCTGCATACATAGCTGAGTTTGGTGAGTTCTCAGTTACTCTGTTCCTGAAGCAGAGTGCAGGTGGTAGAAGCTCAAGCTCCTGCCACTCACATTGCAGGCACTGGTGAGCCTGGTGCTGTTCAGAAGGGAACTGTGTGCGGTTCTCATGCCATACGGGAGAGAGATAATGTGGCACACAGTCTGCCAGAATCTGTTTTAGGCTGATGCTGTGGTCAGTGCTGCAGTGATAGAGCAGCCCCGCATTCCCAAGTCACCAGGCAGACACGTCTGAACCATCTCATCTGTGCCATTGCCACAACCCTGTCTGTAAAACTGGGGAGGATGCACTTCTCAATAATTTTATCAACCATTGCTATGAACACAGCATGCTAGTAATATAAATTGCATTGGTACCAAGCCTGCCCTGGTTCAGTTTGGAAAAAGAACAAAAAGCACTAGGCAGCCCCCCTTTGTGGGCTGGTTCTTTGAGTAGCTCTCAGCAAAACCACCAGAGCAGAAACAGCCAAATGAACCACGGCTCACAGTCCCTTCACCGTATTTCCTGAATTGCTTTGACCTGACAGAGGACAAAGGATGCAGCGAAGGCATCACCATCACACAGCTGCACCATTTCCAGGTCTGTGGCTCCTGACATCTAAACTGCCTCCAGCCTAATGGATGGACCCAAGAGACTAAGTTCCCCAATCTCGACTGTGTTCAGGTTGCTTCGTACTACTGACATATGGAGGAAGCAGCAAGACAGAAATAAGCTCTCGGGTAAAAGACATTCTTAATGCTGCTTCTTCATGCATGTACATTTTGATACATCATTCATTTTTAAATAGTATTTAAACAAGCATGAATTAAAAGTTCTCTTTGCAAATGTTAATGCTCCAAATACCTAGGACTGTATGCTCCATTAACTTTCAAGGAAGTAAAGACTCACGAGTGCCAGAATTATTGCTGAAAATAAGGTCTAAGTTGCTTAGATCTTGGAAAGTCTTATGCACACCTTTTAATTACATTGCTTGAATCGTTAAAGCATGTACAAAAATAACATTATAAATGTGTATAAATATCTACTTAATGGACACACACATTCACATGTATTTAAGGTGGCTTTTGCATACTATCCGCTTCCTCTATTTGTGACTAGGACCGAGCCAAGGCATTGATTTGGTATTTCCTTCTCTTCAGCTTCTTGTAACTTTCTGAGGATAAATTCTCCTGTTTACGCACAACCTCAGAATTACAGTAACTCTTACCACAGATAGGAAAAATTACGTATTTCAGCTATTTTCTACCATTATCCAAGCATTTTTAAAAAATTACTCTGAAAAAATATTATTAAAAAATTGCTTTCAAAATGAGGGTATTTTACGGTAGTAAAAGGTCTGCTGATAAAACTGCTGTATAACAACCAGATCTGTAGATCTATACTGATGTACTGCATTGATTTTAAAGGAACTGCTTGGCATGGTAGGCTTGTACAGGCTGGGACATCATATCACATGCAATTTTCTTGCCTCTCAGCACTCACTACAGATGTATTTCTATTGTTTCTTCACCACTTGCCCTGTACTTTATTGGAAAACAAAACAAAGTACAGTAATACATTATACTAATTTTGAAGAGAATAGAGTTTTAAGTTTTTGAAGCAAGAAGATTTTCTTGTTCTGGATTTGACCAGCACCAACAGCACTACACTCCCGCCCAAAGACCTGGCTTTTATGTTGCAATTACATTACAAATAAGCTATAGGATAGACCAAGATACACTTGAAAATTGAGATGCAGGTAATAGTATTTTAAAGAAAGTTTTTTCCAAGGAAGATTTAAATCTTTACACATTTTGAAGCCTTCTCTTGAATCAATATCTAATAGGCCACACCACTGACTTACACTCCGAAATTACACCTGCATATATGTTAGAAAATTACTACACCAAGGGAATATTTTGCTTTGGATTTTACTCCTCGTCCTGTGGTTGTTCTGCAGCTTGCACCAACTCAACAGCCAGTGACTTTGGCTGATTTATGAAGGACAATCAGCACTCTGGCAAAAATGCTCCAAAATCCATCGACTGCTAAGAGAAAGGACAAAGCCATAAAATCGGGCTGAAAAAAGAAAAAAAAAAAAAGAAGGGGGAAAGGAAGAAAAAAACCCCATAAATAAATTAAAAAAGGGAGAGAGCTGAATTCAAGCTGACAAAGAAGACAAGAAGACCAAGAGATATTGAAGGAGGAACAAAATACATGGAGTACCTAAGCAGTGAATTCCTGAATGCTTGGCTAACTTGTGAGGGAATCAAAACATACAGTGGAAATAAAAGCTTCCTAGTTGTGGCTGCTCAAAGAATAAAAAAGGCCATGTATGCAATAAAAAAGACCAGGTGAAATATGAAAAAAAGAAAACAAGTTTTCTATTCAGCAGTATGACCAACGTATTAAAAATATTGGTGTCATAAGTATTTTTTCACTTTTTAAGGTGCAGGACAACCCAAATGGATCTCCAGTTAGAAAGAATGATTCCCCAAATCCACCTCTATTTCTTCTAGGACTTCAGTGAGAGGAAGAATTCTTCAGCAGAGCTATAGCCTGAGCACATTTTCCCCACCATTAAATGCCTTTTGGAAACCTAACTGAGCTTTTCTATCTTTGTGTTTGCTAAAATTATTCTGCACAGTGACTGTGCCTCAGCTACTCTATTAGAAGTTGTTAAATTGGGCTGCTTTACAAAGTACTTAACACACTCATATATCCTACCCTTGACACGCTCTTAGAGATTATCTTGGTGTTGAACACGTCAGACTCAAAAATTTCAGCAGGGGATGGGTCAGTGAGGAGAGGGCGAACACAAATTCCTTGTGGCAGAGCAGCCCTAATTTGAATCAGGACTTGGAAGGCATTCATTTCAAGCACCAGTCTTACAAACATATCTCCCTGGATGACAAATCCTTCCCGTAAGTACACTGTAACTAGTTAAAAGCAAACCCACTTTCAGAGTATATAAATACTTTGGGGCTGGTTAGAACTACCCACATATTAACATCATATATTACAGTTGTATCAAAGCAAGTAAGAATTTCAAATTACACTGGTTGGATCTTTTTTATAGGCAGTTGTAGTGTGCTGGAGATAAACCCTGGAGAGCAGATGTTTCAATGGAGAAGGGGCTCTGAAGCATGACCTACCTTTACCTTCTTTTCTTATTTTCATTTTTTTCTTGAAAAGCAGGATTATTAAGATCATCACATTACATAACGCAAAGCAAATTAGTTGTTCATCCAAGGCTGTTGTACAGAAACCAGTGTCTGTGGTTTCCAAAGAAAAGTGAAGATCAGCATTTCCACTTTGTAAACAATAAGAGGGCAGCACAGAGAGTGGAGTGGCTTATCCAAAATCATGTGACGCTTCGGTAGCAGAGATGGAAGTAGAATCCGTGTCTCTTTGCCATGCTTTAATGCCTTTATCCTTACTGAAACAAGTGAGCAAACTGAAATGCAGTGGAGAGGAGCTTGCAATGACCACTACTCGTTAAACTGTCCCTTCATAACTGTCAGTTGAACCTGGTGCCCAGCAACTGCAGCAATGGGAAGGGTAAGAAATGAGCTGCAGTTTAGTGAGTTGGTGTTGACAGAAAGAAAATTGCAAAGATGTGGTAAGTAATCTCAAAGCCTCCCTGGGCTGAACTGCAATATAGTCTGGGACTTGGGCAAAAACCTCAGTCTCCAATGAATTGTCATGTACTATAGCTTTGTAACCTCAAAGAGAAACGCCACCAAAAGCTTTCTGACAAACCTCAAAACCTGTCTGATTATGACATTCATAACATTGCTGAGTACCAAACCTGCAGTGTTTAAATCATGCAGATCTGAACAGGAAGGATGGAGGAACAACAGAATGAAACACTGAAAAAAAGGTGAGAGAGTATGGGAAATCTTACACGTTTTGCTTGTGGTGCACATCTGTCTCCTCTCTTTTCCCTCTCTGGCAATCCAGATGAAATGCTTGAAGTTGTTCTTTTAGCCCAGTTGAACTGCTGGTTTTCTTCACAGCAAACCTGAGAATACCTGGATTTTGCAAGGAAAAAATAAACAAATGGAGATTTTCCATGTAATTCCAGCATGGAAAAACTACCAGCAGGCTTAACACTTTTCTCACATAAACACCTAGGCAAAGCACTTCACAATTTGCAATTCAGTCTTATAGTACCAATTGCAGAAAACATGACTGAAATGGAAGTAAACATTATTCTGCATCCTTTCTTATTGTTCAAAACTGACTTTGTCTTGCCAAGCAGACATATGAGCATATATCTTTCATGAAATTAGATACAATGCAGTTGCCTTGTCTTCCAGTGGGCTGGTGGTATCACTCATCTATCCAATAACAAATATGGGCCTAAGCTTATTTTTCAAGCTCTAAACTTTATCCATGGTTTTCTCTGGAAAACCTCTCTATTTCAGTCTGGTTTTTGCACTCCAAAGGACCGAACAAGTTGTTAACGTGTTTGCCAAGCTAATAGATCAGTTAGCTGGCACAATTTGAGAAAAGTCCTGCATTCATATGCAGCATCTGTATAATTATAACTCAGTTGCAAGGACAAGAGCAGTCACGAAGCAGTAACTTAGCTCAAAATAGGTATGCAAATGTTGGCTGTACTGGATCACTAAGCCACCTGCTAGAGAGTCATTTGCATCTACTTAAACAGAGCAGGGTTTATAGGAATACAGGCTCCTTTCTTTAATACCTATTAGGATCTAGGCAGGAAAATTTGAGTTTGTTGATGAAAAAGGTCAAATTCTGCAATCCACACACTAATGAGAATTTTGAAGAGCTGAGAATGACAGCATTAAGAACACCTGTGTTCACAGAATCAAATGAGTCTCCAAACTAAATGTCAAGATTGCTTTAAAGGCAGATAAATTATCTTATGTGCTTGTATGCAGGAATGCAGCTGTCCCTGCACTGACAAGTTTAACACCAGAACATGCAGCAGCCATTCCAGGTGAATAAGCTTTCCACAGAATTATAATCAGAAAGCTTTATCAAAGCAAAGAATTTTTTCTCTTGCAAAGACAATAGCTGCTACCCTGAAGTGCCAAGCATGGCAGTTTCTATGTGATACATCTGTCTGCCTGTGATCACCTCTTCAACAAACAGCCATACTACAGAAAGTGTTTGATCACACTGAGGTATTTCCATTATGCAGGATTGTGTCTGGCCCTGAATCTTTTCCAGCTCTGCTTCCTGCCAGTATTGTAATAAATCCATTAATAACTGCGGAGTTACAGCAGCATAAGCCTATAGTCTGCCTGCCTCCAGTGGACTCATCTATTAAAACAGAGGTCACATCCCTTTGCTGGTCACTACTGAGGCCAATAGAAATCTAGACCTGCTACTGCAATGGAGTCAATGCCTTTACTGGCTGAATCATCAGAAAATTACAGGTGTGACCAGACAGCTAAAGCAGACACAGACCAGGCATCATCAGCTTTGGAGTAAGTACCCCCTTATATAGAAGTTTTCTACAAACTCAGCAGGGCTTGACTTTAGGATGCTCGTGTCTGATGAGGTAGAAAGGGTGTATGAAAGATCCTGGACACAACCAAAGCAAATCTAAGACACTGCTCTTCACTGTTAACTGGTGACTGACAATGAGAACACTGCCACAGATTTTAGCATCAGTGCAGTAGAAGTATACCTAAATAATCAAAGAGCTAAGAAAGTAGGAGTAATGCCAGTGTACACCAGTCTTAAAGGGAGACATTTTAAAGAATGCCCACTAAGTGATGTGAGCATTTACATACCCTGCTTACATCTCAGTATGTTTTTCTTCTCTACCCGTATTTTTTCTCCTGCATAGATGTATCTATACAAAGTCTACACAGCACATAAAACTGAAAGGTGGAACATATGCGTCTGATAAACAGCCTGTTACAAGCTGATTGTATTTCAGGATTGTTCCACTTCAGTTTACCATTTGTTTTATGTTCTTTTGAAATCGCTTTGGTAAAACTGGGATTAATCTAATGCACATTTTATTAAGACTGTTTGCAGTAGGGTAAAACAAAATTGTGAAGTAGAGCAGACACTGAAGCACTGAGCTGCCTGTAGTGTTTAGGGCAACTAAAAATAAAGCATATCTAACTACAGATTTCACAAATTTCCTGATTTCCTGGCCCCATTCACCCTGTCTGAGATCCATGTTAGAGTGAAAGGTCTCTTATACAATTCAGCCTTTCCTTAGACAATATGATAGGTATAACACTAAATTATTCCCATGCAGCGTGTTCAAACAACGAAATTCTCAGTCCAACTCATTTTGTAAATATGCTATAGCTGTTCAAGGGCTCTCTGAGCTCATGTGATTGGATTGATGGCCCTCAATGGTCAAAAGAAGGGAAAATTCTCTGCTGGGAATTTTCCATCTGGTTTACATTGCAGTTCAAACTCTACAGATCAAAGAAAAAGCATTTTCTCTTTCACTGTGTTATCTAACATGAGCCAAAGTATTTTTGGGTCTGTTCAGTGGAAAAGCAAGAGAGCACCACTTTATGGAAACTACACCTGGTTTTATTAGTTTCAAGTCACTTTTTAAAGTCATAATGTACAGTAATAGACGTGGGCAAAAACCATGTGAGTGCCAGTACAGGGAGCTGAACAATGAAATCTTTGCTCAATTTCTATTTAGTCCTGAACAAAAGCTGTGACATCCATTCCTAGAAAGCTAATCAGATGCCTGCAAGCGTAGAGCAAACATAAGCAAACTTTTGGCTTTTTGCCTCCACAAATCAATAGCAGAGCTACCAAATTCCTTTAGAAGCTTTAAGGCTCTCCAGATTTCAGAGCCTGGGCTAAAACACAGCAGTCTAGAAAAAACAATTTAGTTAGTGATACAGAATTTTGACCTCGAGCCTTCTAAGGTAGACATGCTCTGCTTTCTTTACCTGTTAGGCACTTTCTTCTAATGTTTCCTAGTTATATCAACAGCCTCTCTAAGTCAAGTTCTGGTGCTTGCTTCTTGTCAGCTGCCACCCAGTCATACTGCCTAGCTAGCAGAGTTGGCTTAGAGGTAGAAAAAAACCTTTTAAAAGAGAGAAAGCAAAGAAAAAAACCAACCCCACACAGAAACCCCCAAAACAATGTGCAAGAAACAGGAACTCCCTCACACCCTGAACTTTACAGGAACATAACAAACAAAATCATAGAATTGTTTAGGTTATAAAAGACCTTTACTATCATTGAGTCAAACCATTAACTTAGTACTGCCAAGTCCACCACTAAAGTGCCTCATCTACATCTTTTAAATACCTCCAGGGATGGTGACTCCATCACTTCCCCAGGCAGCCTCTTCCGATACTTGACAACCTTTTTGGTGAAGACATTTTTCCTAATATCCAACCTAAATCAACCCTGCTGCAACTTGAGGCTGTTTCCTCTTGTCCTGTTGCTTGTTACTTGGGAGGAGAGACCAAAACCCACCTCATTACAACCTCCTTTCATGTAGTTGAGAAGAGTGATAAGGTGTCGCTCTCGAGCCTCCTTTCTCCAGGTTAAACAACCCCAGTCCCCTCAGCCTGTCCTCATCAGACTTGCTCTCTAGACTCTTCACCAGTTTTGTTGCATTTCTTTGGACGTGCTCCAGCACCTCAGAGTCTTTCCTGCAATGACATATTCTTTCAGTGAGAGGGTACAGGACTTCCAAAAAAACCCCAAACACTCCACAGCCAAACCTGAAAAAAAGCATAAAGTAGCCAAAGCTTTGTAATTTTACTGTCACTTAAGCATTAGAGAGACCTTTAATAGCTGTAACTTTACTGAGAAACAAAGGATGTCAGTTACATAGCCAAACATTTTGTTCTGGATTGCTGATGAAGTCTTTTAGTCATATCAGCATTTTAATAGGAATCATAAACACAAAACTTTAAAAAAAAATAATAGATTTTAACTTAGAAGAAACATAAAGATTAAATAGAAATACAGAATGTACCCATCTGGTCTCATCAGATCTTGGTGGAAAGACCCTCAGACAGCAACTAGCACAGGCAACTCAGTGTGCTTATTCTACAAAGTCTGTGAACAGCCCAAACTTGCAAGAGGTAAAGGAGCACACATGGGATCAAGTACAAACACCCAGAGTGTCCGGCTGTTAGAAAAAGCTTCTCCGTCTGAAGGAAAACCAGACATTTCTACATCAGTCTGTGTAAAGGAAAAGAATATACCCAAGAACAGTCCAAAGTGCACATATTCTGAATAAAAGAAATTTCAGCTACAGAAAGGAAAAAATATCATAATTCAAGAGCTAGATACATCCACTGATCAGAATATTACGTGATTTAGATGAAATGATTATTACAAACAGGACATGACTACAGTGATTAATCTAATCTAAAATAAAGATTTTGCAGAGAAAGTTGTCTCATGTGGAATACAGATGTGTAAAACTAAAGGAGTACACAGGGCAGATTATTTGCTATAAAGAAACAGTCTTGAGAAATAAAATAGTTTGCATTTGCCTATGGAAATGGAATACCTGGTTTTGGGTTGAAGACATACTGAAATGTGTATTTCATGTAAAGACCTTAAAGTTCAGAGAGTTAGAAGACCTTGAAAACTGGAAATATTTCTATAATGAGGAAGAAAACAGAGCGCAGCTCTGCATGAAAGCTGATGTGCTGTAATTGTGGGCAACCACCAAGAGTGCAAGGCCAGCTCCTTCCCCATCCTCCTTTGAGGCTGCAGCATCTGCTGTCCTCTCATGCATTGGTCCAGCTCCATCACTCCAGCCCACTCATCTCCCACAGAGCTACTTGCTGTTCCAGGAGTTAGTCTGGTGTTGAATCTGCTCGTGCCTTGACCAGACATTTACCACCTGTTTACCATAACCAGGCTGTGCGTGACAGTGAATGGAAGGGGAGCAGGACTGCCTCTTCTGGTGGCAGCCTGCAGTTAGACCAAGTTCCAATGTAAGAAAGAGATCACCTGAGGAAGAGACAAATTGCCAGCAAATAAAGAAATACCATAGATGCTACGTTGCTGTCTGGTTTTAATATTAGAAAACTTCCTA